CCGGTTCATACCAAATACCGGTGTTTATTTTTGTTATGATATTCATTTTTAAAATACTGCAATACTGCAATACGGTGTATGTCGCTTAAACAACGTTCGGAACGCGACACCGTTTGAAAGGGGTCCCTTTTCACTGTTGCTCTGTGGTGAGGGAACAGCTGTATAAGAGTGAAAGTTCCGAAACTGAAGCTGTAGAACTAATAGAACGTGATGACAGAAGAACTCATCCACAATATGCACCGCAGCCGACTCGTCAATAAATGAGTTCAAAACAGTGTTTCCTAGCACCTGTCGCTTACTGATTGTTTGGAATTATAAATATGAGCGTAGTTCGTCTGTTAATATCACATGCACTTTTTTGTTTGTTGTTTTTTTCAGTTTGACTATTTAGTGTGGTATTTTTTGACAATATTCACTCATCATGACAGTAAAATAGGGCATTCTAAGTCAATATACTGCAGTATATTTCCTCTCTCAATCAGTAGAAAATATGGTTAACACCCGGTCATGCATGAAAAAAAAATACCATCATGTACCGTGAAACCAATATAATTTTGAAAAATACCTTGATATACATTTTTGGCCATACCGCCCAGCACTAGGTTTTATTGGTTTTGTCTCATCCTGCTGGGAGACGGCATCACAGTATGTTAAGGGGCGTAACATTTCTGTAACACGCTTGAGGCATTCGGCCAATCACAACGCACTGGATAGCTGGCCAATCAGAGCACACCTCGCTTTTTTAGAACGATGAGATTTGTAAAAATCGACTCGTTTCAGAAAGGCGGGGCATAGAGGAGAAACAATAATGTACATTATATGGAAAATAATGTGTTTTTTTTAACCTTAAACCGCATAAACGCATTGCATTACACCAAATACACAAAATAATGTTCTTTTTAGCAACGTCATATGACTCCTTTAAGGTCAGGGGTTTCTTCAGATCCCAACTTCTACAGTATGTATGACGTTAGCAAGCACTACTAATATAAATTCGGGTATGCTGAGAATGCTCAGAGCTCCTGCTGAATATTTAGGACAAAGATCAGGTTGTTCTGGTCGCTCGACACACCACAGTCGACACTGATGCTGCATTGTCTGCAGAGTTAAGCATCAGTCAGTTGTTTGCCAAGGGTCACGGCGGGCCACTTTCAACACACACTGGTGAGGGGTCGAGTGCGTGACAGAAAATGATTATTGACTTTTCAAAGAAAAAGTTAGTCACACAAAGGAGGGATGCTCATATGGATGCAGGTGATTCTGTCCTTGTAGAAGCACTTTTTTAAGATGAGTGTTGTCTAGTCACAGTTTTGATCTGGGAAAGTCTCTATAATATCTGAATTATTTTTTCAAGGCGAGATTAAAAAAAGCTGCTTTTTGGACATTTTTGTTGAATTTTTGAAAGCACTGTCCAGTTTCAAGTATAGCGACGAATGCAGCATCACTCACACAGAAGTTACTTTTAACCAAGCAGCTTTCTGTTGGTCAATGCAGCGAATTCGTGTGAACTTGATGCAAAATCTGTTTGCCGAACTATGGTAAATGTGACCATATTTTCTAATTTGTGTCTATTTTTGTCTCTCAGTTAATTTCAGGACCTTCATTAACTGATAAAATGTACATCTTTAATGTAATATAAGTGGTTTTGGATAAAGCATCTGCCAAATACATAAATGTAAATGGAAACGCAACTGAGTGCTTCTGAGTTGTGAAAGAGCAACTTCTGAGCAATAAAACATTCCCCTGGGTTCAAGTGAATAATGGTGTTGATGTGATTGAGGTTTGTGAACAGGTGACGATAAAGATCGACTGTGTTTTCCCTTGAGTGTTGTGAATCGCAGCATTGTTCTCTGGTAATGTAATCCACTGATGTAAAAGCTATTGTCTTGTAAATGGCACTCGAGCATAATGAGCTGTTATCCAATTCTCTATAAAGAGTAAATGTTTTTTTTAATGATGTGTTAACTGGAAAGGGTGTTGATGATTAAAATGAGAACCACATGCTGTTGATGTGGTGGGTGCAGTAGGTTTCATAAAAGGAAGGCTAGGAAGACTGACAAGGTAAACAGCCCTGATGTCATGGGATTTCCCATGAGGTAAATGTATTGCTCTTAGTCATCTTTTTTATTTTTTATTTTAGATCAGTGTTATTTTATTCATATGCTATACAGTGGGGTAAAAAATGTTTTTTTTTTTGTTACTCCAAATTTTTGTGTTGCTTACATTTTTAACCCAACTTTTTAAACGGAGTACTATAGTATTTAGATTTAATATTTTGCACTTTTATTTTGATGTTTTCAGTTTTAATTTTAATTCCATTTAATTCCATTTAAATTTTCAGTTTAAGTTTTAGTAATTTTGTGGTTTTGTTATTTTTATATATTTTTTTAAATCTAGCCTAGATTTATTTCAGTTTTAGCCATTTTCGTACTTATTCACTTATTAATTTCACTAATTTCACTTTCTAATTTGTATTTAAATGTAGTCTTTTATCTAATATTTATATACATATTTTTTATTTCATCTATTTCAAATACAAAAAAGGTTTTTAATAGTTGTAGTTTTAGTTAACCATATTGACACTGCTTGGGAGACATAAAAACAGACATAAATGAGACAATTGTGACATACTGTACAGTAAGTGTACAGATCTATTAAATGAATGTGGATAGCTTGCATAATTTTATTTTGGAATTATTTGATTCGAAATATTTGAGTTCATATTGAAATATTGCAGACACTGTGGATCTTGGCAAATCTGAGTATGATTTGAGACATTGATGAGATCTCTTATGAAACTCCAGAAGAGGCGAGATTTCTGGGATCATTTTTTCAGGAGAAAAATTTGAGAATCAGGCAACCTCAGCATGTCTCTATTTGTTCTCCATGTAATCTTATGTTGTAAAGAGTAAACAACTGAGCACTAAAGGTTCTTTCCTAAGGGCAGTCTGCTGATGGATCTGTCCACAATCAATTTGGTGTAAATTAGCCGTTTTGATTGAATCTGGATGTGGTGGTATATTTGTCCTATCAGTGGAGCAGTCATTGTTGTTGATTAGGTTGGCAGAAAAGCATGATGGGACAGGGTCTGCTGCGGCTTCCCTCGGGCTGTCAGTTCCGCTGGCTGACTGGAGCATGTGTGATCCCGCAGGGTCAAAAGGGCAAGATTTAAATGAAAACTTTAAATAACTGCCAGGCTCTGTCATTACAAAGTATTACTGGCCATGTGCGAGCGGGCCCGAGCCACAGTAATGACTACATCTCCTCCATGTGCCTCTGCCTAAGAGGAGACAGCACTGGCCTTTAATAGAACTTATGTAATTACACTGCGTCAGGAGAGCAATGCCGTGCTAACAATCACATCCTCCAGAGAAACGAAATAAATAACAGAATATATTACCGGTTTTCTGCACTCTTTAAAATGGTTGTAGAATATTACATCTCTCTCAATTACGGCTGTTTGTTTCTGACTCAAATTCCTAGTTTGTGAATCAACTCTGGAAGCGATTCCTGTTTCTGGAATCAACTCTGGAATTTCTCAATTCATCACTGTTATCTTTTTTTTTTAAATTGGCGGAACATGTACACATAATTTTGTGAAATACATGATATGAGGGTTTTCCTCCTTTTAAACTTATTTCTATTGATTATCAGCATCTGTTTTTGCCTCATGTAGGCTGAAGCAGGACTCAGAACCTTCTATTGTCGATAGAAGTAACAGAATGAGTCAGTTTCACCCTTTAAGCTAAATCATTGAGCTTGTAAGATTAATTCATTATTTGTATATGCCTTAGGTACATAAAACACTTCCCTGATTGTGCATCAGTGTCTGTATTGTTTTAGGCGCAAACTTTTTTGCCACTCGTGTAGGATCAAAGAATGAAACGGTGACATCAAACCTTATTAAAGGGATACATCACCCAAAAATGAAAATTCTGTCATTAATTACTCACCCTCATGTCGTTCCAAACCTACAGTATATAAGGCCTTTGTTCATCTTCGGAACACAAATTACGATATTTTTGATGAAATTCGAGAGCTTTCTGACCCTTTTTATAGACAGCAATGTAACTGACACGTTCAAGGCCCAGAAAGGTAGTAAGGATATTGTTAAAATAGTCCATGTGACATCAGTGGTTCAACCTTAATTTTATGAAGCTGCGAGAATACTTTTTGTATTCTTGTATTTTATATTTTTGTATTCAGCGTGATATACCATGACACCTAGTTGTTAGAAATACTGATGTGACTAAACCTTTGCCTGAAATGTTTAAAGTTGAGTAAAGTCAAGCCAGTTTAATTTGTATAATGTGTTTTCACAGTGCATATTGTTTCAAAGCAGCTTAGAAGATCATGCCGTAATGCCCACATCGATCCAGCCAAAGAGGATTGTCAGAAGAAAAAGCCTTGTTGAAAAGCTTTGAGAGGAACCAGAATCAGCCAATCCTTCTCTGGTAAGGCACACATTATGATAAATGTATGTACATGTGCCAAATATATCTTATATATTTACATAATAGACATATAGCTTTTTATTATTGTATTACTATTAGCCATATTATCAAGTGACAGATGATTTTGTGTTTAATACCATTGGACACATGTCTTGGACATAGAAAACTGGAAGGAAAATGTTCTCTCATCTCTTCTAAAAGCTGATAAGCCTCTTTTTGTTTGCATAACTATGCACAATTATATGGTTAGTTGCATTTTATTATTCGCCTTGTTTTTCGCTGCTGTCCACAACCCTGTCAGAACAGATTTGGGACACATTTTTGGGTCACAACCCGCCAGTTGAGAACAAATAGAGTAGTTGGAATAGAGCACAGCGGGAGCCGTAAGTGCCGCTCTTAGACACAACGGCAGTCGATTAAAGAACGCCTGAGCCAAAGTCTCTCGCATGTTTCGCAGTGCTGCGGTCGTCCCACAGAGCCATCCAGACCAACTTCATATTAGCATGAGTGACTGATGTGTTCAGTTTTCTGACACAATGGCGGTGGTTATTCCTCAGGCCTGGGGTTTGTTGAGATGCAAGATCGCTTCAGCTGTCGTCGGTATGGGTTTAACTCAACTATTTATGATGTGGGAAGTACATTGTCAAATCTTTGATATATTTGGGTTTGGTCAGTGCTTTATTTGCGCTGTCTGTTGGTTGACAGCAAGATGGTCAGAAATTAGTCATGGCTTGGGGCAGAAATGACACTGAAAGTGACAAAAATGCCACAAATATTATAATAGTATAATATTACATGGTGACAGGCATTTATAAAAAGGTATTATAGCAGAGTTTTTGTGTTACAACATCTTGTGCATCACCATAAGATGCTTTTTAGATTTGATTTCATAATTAGCAACCGTAATTGTTCTAATTTGGAATTAATTAATTGATTTAATTTAACCATTTCATTTAAATAGGTATGGTGTGTTTTTATGTTGTTAGAATGCTAAAATTTCCTCATAAAGATACAAATGCTTGTAAAAATCAGTTCCAGGTGGCAAATTGGTGGTAAAAAGAGGTTCTTACAGTGCAGCAGGAGTTTTTGTGTGAGGCATCAGATCAGGTGCCCTCAGCCTTAATATTTGTAATCACACACATATTCAATTATATTCTCCTTCTGTTGCGTGAAGTTCTGTTTGTTGTTGAAATTGAAAGTGGCATGCTTCACCGGCTATCAGGACTCTCTCTCCCTCTCTCATACAGACACTCAATTCCCAGTGAAGGAAGCTATTTCTCTAAATGAGTAAAAGTCGCTGCTGTTTCATATCCTCCCTGATAAGGAGAAAAACAAAAGGGCCTTTTATTCTGACACAGAAGCTTCAAACAGCATCATCCACGTCACCTCAGATAAAAGACACTAGAGCATCACAGTGTAAGTGTATTCTGCTGCCTCATTCTCAGTGAAACTGAGGGAAAAAGACAGAAATTACACTTACATCCACTTTATCTTCACTAATCACTTTTTTTTAGTATTTCTGTATAAATTCTATACACTATACCAGTATGTTTACCTTAAAATATGATACAATGCAAAGCTTAATTAAAAATGTGTAAAACACCTTTATATGAACATAATACATTTTATTGTGTGTGTGTGTGTGTGTGTGTGTGTGTGTG